ACGTAGTTCACACAGCAGAGATCCATCACTCGAGGAAGTCGCGAAGAAATCGAACGGGTAAAACGGCAACAGGGAAATATGCAAATCCGGAGGACTCCAGCATGGACCAATCAGCGATAATCCAGGAACAACAAGAGACAATATCAAATATGGAATCATCTATGGCGGAAATGACGGAAATGATGAAATCTTTCTTCAGTCAATCAGCATCTCCCCGTAGCCCACCCTTATCAGAAACCCCATCTCCAAGGGTACACACCTTAAGATTCGGGACGTCAACCCCTTACACCGGCAGGATACCAGGATTGTAGACAACCATTGGCGCTGGAGAGCAAAGTATCCCTACTTCAGCTATTCAATCACCAGGGTTCGAACAAACCAGGGTCAGGACGGAAATAAAACTTCCGGATGAACAGAGAGGAGTAGTTTTGGACACGAAGAAGACTAACCTCTACTTCGAAGGAACGGAAGTGGAACTTTTTATAAAAAGAGTCGAGAAGGTTGCGGTGTTACAGAAGGCAGGCGGAAGAGATGTGGCTTTCCAATTACCCTTCATCATCAGTAATCGAAAAATCAGCGAAGCTATAGAGCAGATGGAAGGACACGAAACTGGAAATTGGGAGCTTTTGAAGAAAGAGTTAATCCGGAAGTGGGGAAGGGCAACACCTCTGAGACGCTACAAGGAAGACTCTATACCAAGACTCATACGCAAGGCCCAGGAAAATGGTGGCATCAACACTAGACTAGAATACAAGAAGTTTATCAGCGAATTTGAGGAAATTATGGACTACTTTACAAGGATGGAGTACCAAAATCTTAACCCAGATAGCGGGAACCCATTGTGGAAGGCACTCTCCACGGAATTGAAGAAGGAAGTCACCAAGGAATTAGCCCACGCCAAACAACTCCAGACAACAAAGGACGGGAGAAACATAGTCCCGGACCTGGAGAAGCTTAAGAAATATGTGGAAATTGCCTTGATAATTGTGGATTTCGACGGAGATGACGAAGAGTACAAACCTAAGGAGCAGGTCAAAAAGACGGTCAAGATTCAGGAACCAGCCACCAAGGAAGACTTAGAAGAAAAGCTTACAAAGTTAACTTCCGCCTTGGAATATCAGAATCGTCAAGCACCGCCACACGTCAGCAGACCATCATCACCGGGACTCTCAGATAACAGACCAAGATACGGCCCTTTGGAATGTTTTTACTGCAAGGAGAGACATGTGGTCACCCAGTGTGAATACCTCAATCAAGATATGCAGGATCGGAAGGTGTACAAGTCTCAGGGGACCTACTATTATCCAAACCGCCAGGCAATTGTCTTAGACAAGGATTCATCTGTTAGAGAATTAGTCAGAAAGTTTGCGGAAGAGCAAAGCACTTCTTCAAATCCTCCACCCAAGGAAGCCGTGAAGGAATCAACGTCAGCAGTGGCAGAAATTGAAGAATGGGGATCTTGGGTTCCACCACAAGTAAACATGGAGGAAGGTGACCTACAAAACAACCTAGGTTTTGGACTCCGGAAATCCCAGAGACTACAGGAGAAGAATGCACCCTCCGGTAGCCAACCAGCTCCCAGCAACCCTGTAGGAACAGAGGGACAACCATCAAATATTCAGGACGAGGGGCCGAAAACAGCCGCAAGGAGAGAAAGTTTTCCGGGATCCTGGCTTGAAGACAACGACGATGAAGAAGAAGAAGAAAGGATTATTATACCTACTAAGGCTAAGACCCGACCAGTTCCGCCAGCAAAAGAAAAGCAGGCTAGGACGGAGACGGCAGATAAACAAAAGGAGATAATTGGAAAATTGGATAAATCATTGAAAGCCAAATTTTACCGCCAGTCGTACACTCTCACCTTAGAAGAAATCTTGAAGATCTCACCAAATTTCTTACAAAGTTTGCATGCGGTACAACCAGAGGAAGACTTAGCTGAAAGAGGTTTAAACAGTGTCAAATTCAACTGTGCAACCAACGCAAGTATGGATAATGAAGAACAAGATTCTGGGCTTACGTACGCATGTCCAGTGGGAATGGTGGATATGACCATAAATAAACGCAAAATTAGGACCTTGGTGGATACTGGTGCGGAAATGAACATCATTCCGGACAGTCTGGCAGACCAACTTGGACTCTTAACAACAGAAATATTCATGCGGTTGAAGGGAATCGGGGGACATTTTACACCAATTATTGGGATTGCGGAGAACATACCCGTCAGCGTATTCCCAGGACACATTCACCTGGCCAATTTCTTTATTGTTAAGGGATCAGTACATACCGTTATAGGGCGACCTTTCCTTGCAGACCATAATATCCGGCTAGAGTTATCAAGTCAGAAGGGAGAAGTGTTAAGCTTTTTGGACACAGATCAACGGAGGTTGTGCATACCAATATGCTTACCAAATACACCAGGATGGCACAAAGAACCACCGAAACTTCGACAAGTCTGCACTTTTCAAGTCGACGAATGGGAGGCTGAAAGTATCAGTTCAAAAGATTTTGACCTGCAGGAAAAGATGGAGGAGTACAATAGAACAATCCCGCTTCTAAATGAAGATCCATGGCAGGTTGTTTTATCAGAACCGGTAGATTGGGCACAAGAACTGGGCGCAGCAGAAGTGGACAAGGCGGCCTGGGATATGTTCCACCAAATTAATTCAACCGTATGGGGAACAAATGTCGATCCAGAACGAGACGCTTGGAGCCTGTACAAGGAGGAGGTCTGGTTACACCCGCGGTTCAAGGAGGTATTCACCTGGCCTACTCAGAAAAGGTCACTACGGAGATCACCCTTATGGTTACAAGAGTTACCAGGAGGCGGCTTGGGATCATTGGACTTCTTCCAGATTCTCACGACAGAAGCGGCAGACAGTTTTTTACAATATGGAACCTGGAACTCAAGATATGGACCAGTCAGTATTGCAATCAGACGGAGGTTGTACGGAGGAGGAGCACATAAGTGGTACAAAAAGCACATATCAAGAAGCTACAAAGCTAAGAACATAAGAAACGCTAGCTTTGGAGGCTACCAGTTTTTCATTTGAAAAACTATTTCACTTACAAATGAATTTTTCACATTTTTCAGGGGGGTATTAATAACAATTTTTTTGGGTCATGGAGCAGGGTGTATTGCAAAAAAAAAAAAAAAAAAAAAAAAAAAAAAAAAAAGCATACCCCCAAGGTAGCAGATCTAGATACAAATACATGGCTAGTATGAAGTAACACAGAAAAAAAAAAAAAAAAAAAAAAAAGTTTTTTTTGGCTTTTAAAAGT